GATCTGACCCCAATAGGATGGGATGGTGGATGGACTAAAGGGAAAATACTGGAGGCAAGAACAATCCCTGCATAATCTTTGCATACATGAAGAACCCCATGGGCTGGCATGGTGAGAGGTGTTTAAGGCAAGGAGGACAGCTGTGATCATTCAATCACTGAGCAAGGATCTAGGATCTAGTAGCATTTAAAAAGCCCACACTTTAAGTCAATGTTCTTACCTCCATTATCTAACTGCACCCTCAGCTGAGAAGGTAAGCACCTTTATCCCCACTTTATCTAAGAACAAATGGAAAATATGACAGGTTAACTTTCCCAAGGGCACATATGCAGGGAATAGTAAAAAACTAGGATTTGGAATCTAGGCATGGTGGTGCACATTTGTAGTCCCAGTTATGTGGCACCCCTTTGAAGAGGAACCTAAGAGAACATATAGATAGTAAAGAGAAGAAAAAAAAAAACCAGAAACCCATACACAAGCATGCACTGACACGTATTTGTATTACAACCTCAGAGAGTCTGTCCACTGCCTTCTGACTGATACAGTCTGGGGAAAGTTTAGGAGATCTAGGAGAGAATGACTTCTCAGCTCACAGGAAGGGAAAGATAGCATGAAAATTACTGGTGATCCCAGTCTTCTCTTCCAACTATCCAAGGGACTAAGAAGCAAGTATTTTTTTTCTCTCTTGTTTCAGAAAAGGTTTCATTTCATAAATGCTGGCCTACATTGTGTCTCTTTTTCCCAAATGCAACTAAAGATGTGACAAGACTATGCCTTTCTTAGGAAACCAAAAAAAAATGCTGTGCACTTTAGGCATTCCCATTGAGAAGGGCCTCATAACTTTTCCACTTGGGGCCTTTGCTCAAATTAAATTACCTTCTGTCTGTTGTCACTATGGCTCTATACATATATCCAGGGCTTGAGTTATTGAAATAAATGAGTGGAGCCCACGTTGTTGGGTCAGGCCATAGGAGAAATCTCGGTTTCCACCTTCTACCAAAAAGAATAGATTGTGTTTCCAGCCCTGAATGTCCTATTCTGAGCTTTACAGGACACAGCTAAAAGGGGCTAATGTTTCTCACTTTCTTCTGTAACGAGATCAGATATCTCTGTGACAGTCACTAGAGCAGTGGAGGGTAGGGTCTCCATGTTTTACCTATGGTCCCTTAGGTCCAGTCCTTGCTACCTTAATCTGTCCATTGCATAATCTCCTGAATGATACAGATAAAAATGATTTCTGTTTTTGCTAATTTCTTTATTATACAGATTGATGGGATTGCTTGTGATGCTTCCATGTATGCATAGATCATGCATTTATCATTTTTCTCCACCACTTTTCTATCTTTGCCCCTATTCCCATAAACTATTCCCAGTACCTGGTAATAATTCTTCTATTTTTAGGCTAATCTTTTATTAATTCATTTAACTTTTGTTTCCAGATGTGTGAGAGAGTGCATGCAATAGTTTGTGTCTGGATTATTTCACTTAACATGATGTCAATTAGCTCCACCCATTTTGCTGCAAGTGACAATATTTCATTCTTTTTTGTGACTGATTAATAAACCATTGTATCAATATTTCTTTATCCATTCTTCTGTTGATCGGTACCTAGGCTGATTCCATATCTTAGTTATCATGAAAAGTAGCACAATAAACGTGGACTGGCAGGTATGACTTTTGCATGCTGACTTAATTTCATTGTATATATATCCAGGAATGGGATAGTTGGATCATATAGTAGTTCTGCTTTTAGTTGTTTTTAAGGAACCTCCATGCTTTTTTTCATAGCAGCTACACTAATTTAAATTCCTACCAACAGCATATAAGTGTTTCTTTTTTAGCATGTCCTTGCCATCACTTTTTTTTTATTGATAATAGCCATTTTAACTGGGGTGACATGGACTCTTAGAGTAGTTTTGATTTGCATTCCCTTGATAGCTAATGATATTGAGCATTTTCATGTATTTATTGGCTGTTCATTTCTTCTTTTGATAAGTGTCTATTTGGATCATTTTCTATCTTTTAATTGGATTACTTCTGTTTTGTTGATAAAAATTTTGAGTTCTTTGTATGTTCTGGATAGCCCTCTGTCAGATGACTAGCTGCAAGTATTTTCTCCCATTCTGTAACTTGTCTCTTCACTCTGTTGGTTCCTTTGCTGTGCAAAAGCGTTTTAGTTTGATCTAATCCCATTTGTTAAATTTTGCTTTTGTTTCCTGTACTTTTAGAGTCCTAGCTAGCTACCAATGTTTTGAAATGTTTTATTCCAGCAGTTTCAATGTTCCAGTTCTTACTTTATTTAAGATCTTGATCTACTTTGAGTTGATTTTTATACAGTGAGAGATAGGAGTCAAGTTTCAATCATCTGCATTTGGACACCCAGTTTCCCTAGCACCATTTGTTAAATAGACTGTCCTTCCTCCAGTGCATGTGTAGGCCAACTTTGTGGAGAACTAGTTGGCTATAGATACATGGATTTATTTCTGGGCTCCCTGTTCTGTTCCATTGGTCTACTTGTCTGACTAAACCTCATTTCTGATCTTTCCACTTCCTAGCTCTGTCAGCTTGCTTCATGATGAAATATCCAACACAATTAACATAAAGAAAGTTTGTTTTGGCTCATAGTTCTGAAAGTTCCAGTCATAGGTTTGGTGGCCCCATGGATTTAGATATCTGTTGAGGGCAATACAGCATGGCAGGAGAATGTGGCAGAGCAAATCACTCACCTCATGATCTAGGAAGCAAGAGAAGAAAAGGAAGAGACGAGGGCCCTAAAACTTCCTTCAAGGGCATGCCTCTTAACTTCTTTCCATTAAGCACCACCTCCTAAATGTTCCACCACCTCCCAATAGCATAACCCTGGTGACCAGCCTTTTAACACATGGGCCTTTGAGGGATATTCAATATCCAAACTATAGCACTGGGACAAAGAGCTCCACCATTTCCCAATATCTTAAGAGAGAGCTGAGGTCCTTTTGGATCTGGCCCCTGCTGCTTTCCAGCATTCTCTTCTTTATTTCACCAAAAGATTCATTATTTTAAAAAATTGCAATAAAGGGATGGGCATGGTGGCACTTGTGTGTAATCCCAGCTATGCAGGAGGCAGAGATCAAGAAGATTGATGTTCAAGGTCAGCCTAGGTAAAAAGTTAGGAAGACCCCATCTCAACCAAAAAGCTGGGTCTGCTGGTATATGCCTGTCATTCCAGTTACTTGGGAGTCATAGTTAAGAGAACCGCAGTTTGAGGCTATTCCTGGGCAAAACACAAGACCCTATCAGAAAAGCAAGTAAAGCAAAATAGGACTGGCACATTCTCAAGTGGTAGTACACTTGCTTAGCAAGTATGAGGCCCTGGGATTAAACCCCAATATGCCAAAAAATTAGTTATAATAAGTTGATTATACAAATTTAAGGCACTTCTTATGATAGGGTGCCAATAATTTTCTGTTCACTACATTTATTTTGTCCCATTTTAATTCTCTGAGGCAAGTATCTGCATTATTTTACCAATCAAGATGAACAGAGAGGCAAAGTAACCTGTCTCAGTTAAACAGATTTTATGTAATAGACCTGGGATTTACATCTGTCGGTCACCAAATCCCAAATCACTAATGTTTATATCACACTATAACGTAACCACCATTTATATCTCTGTTACCTCAATCGTCCACTTCTAGAGATTTCTTCCTCTATTTTCATCCCTAGCTATCGAAGGGTGATGGTAGCAACTAACTAAGTATCTTCATATTATGTTATAGTCTATTTCCCCAAAGTAGGAGCTCAAGTCTAACTTTAAACTAGTTCAAAATATGATTCTATGACTTCTGGATTTGTAACAATTAGGACAAGATTATTGGCTGTTCTGCACTTTTGTTTCCTATATGTATAACAGGAGATGTGAGTTAATTCTCATTAAGCATGTTGAAGAATGCTGGGTATGGAGAAGTTCTCCACAAATGTGAACTATGATTGTCATTTGTTTACCCACTGACCCAAAGTACTTCATATATACTTTTAGGGTTGTATCCATCACAACTCGCTGTTGCTTAGCTAGACCTTGTCCCTCATGAGCATGGAGATCATGCTTCATTTTATTTAAGTTTGGAAGTGTCTCTCTTCAGAGCTGGCAGATAGCATGAGAAAATCCAACATTTTTAAATGAGTAGGTACAGTTTTCTGGATTATACCTATTCTGCCATCCAAGTTATTGGATCCAGAAGGCGCCACATGGGGACTCTTAATTGCCTTTCTAGTTTCCATGCCTACAAAACTACTCTGCCACTTCTTGATGCCTCATTAAGTGCTCAGTTGTAACTTACTGAAGCTGACACTTGTTGGGATGTACAGGTAACCTGTGCTAAGCTCTATGCTGAGTGCCTTGCATATGGCATCCAACTTCATAGTAACACAAAAATATATAATAGCTCCCTGTACTGGGAAAACAGAGTTGAACTCAGTTGAAAACATTCCTCATGGGTCTCACAGAGGAAGGAGCCTTCTACATGCCTTCATTTGGCATTTCCCACCTCGAGAGAATTCAAACCACTCCTTGCAAAGGGTGGAACAACCAGGATAGAAAAAGCATGACTCTTCAGGAGGCTTTCCCCCAGCAGACTAGTGGTGTCCCTGCCCAGGACAAAAGTATTTGGCTCCAAGTCACCTGGTATTTCCTGATGAGCAAAGGGCAGGATCCAGCTCTAGCAGCACTTATAGACAAGCCTGTATTTCACATCTAAGTACATATGGAAAACTCTCAGCACTCATTCTATATTCCATATTACAAGTCAAAATGATGAGGCTGACTCTTATAAATAGGGAGGCTAATTGAGGGTCAAGTTTAATGTCTCCAACTATACAACTATCAACAGAGTTGCCAGACAATGATATGAGAGATTTGAAGAAGTCATAATCTTCATTTTTGGATTCTTTTTTGGCAGTAGTGAGGGTAGAACTTGGCATCTTATGCTAGGCAAGTGCTCTACCACTTGAGCCACCACCCCCAGCCATTTTTGCTTTGGTTAATTTTGAAATAGGGTCTCACTTTATGCCTAGGCCAGCCTGGACTGTGATCCTTTCCTATTATTATCAGTAATAGTATATCATTTTATTTCTATTTCTGCCACCCAATGATACTTTCCTGGTGTCTCCCTTAAACCTAGTTAGTATCATGAAGTAGGACCAGGCAGATCTGGCTCAGATCCACGGTCTTCCTCTTACTATCCACAAGACATAGGCAGAACAAGAGGCTAAGTGACAGAGACAGGGGAGGCCAGCTAAAGTTTGTTGTACAGTGTTCCTGTCATACAGAATTCTTTGGAATATTTTATTTTCTGGGGTTTCACATTGTGTCTGCAGATTAACTGGAATGTCCTTTCGGTAGGAGGCAGTTGTTCTCTTCTCTTTGGTCCTTTTTCACATCTGATGTAGTACTTTGCATTCAAAGGATATCGTCTGCTTGCTGGAGTCATAGCTGCTAATTTCTACTTAACTGGATTGTCTACTCTGGGTAAGCAGAAGTGGCCATGTCATAAATCTTTGACATTTTGGAATAAAAAGAGGGGAAGGACAAATTACATAATCCTGTTACACAACTGCCAATAACTTTACAGCCAATGAGATGTTTGCTTTGCAACAGTGATTCTGCAGCTCTTATGTTGAAACATTTGAAGACACTTGCTTATTTTTTTGAAAAGGTGGAGTCATTTCAATTCCCAGAAAGAGTTTAAAGCAAAACAAATTAGTCATATTACTTTAAGCCTGAGTTATAATTTCCTCTGGGTTACACAACAAGTTCATATCAAGACTAGGACAAGAACTTGGGCCTTCTAAACCTTAGGAACCAAAAAGCTAGTAGAATTAGTGCTAAGAAATTATCTTCTGCTTACATCATCCCATCTCATAACAAAAGAATTAGTATTCTTGACTGAATGCTTAGTACCTAGCACAGTGCTAAGCACTTCATATAAGCACTCACTTGATATACTATCCTTCATTTACTAATTCACAAATTAACACACAGTTGCCATGAGTGCCTTTGTCAGAGTCAGTTGATTCCATTAAATATTAACATCTACACAATTAATTATTTCAGCTATATTATCTCTTTCTTTCATTCTAGGCTATGGACATGCTCTTCAAATTGCTATTTCTCACATTTATCCTTTTTATTCATGCTATTCTTTGGAAATTCCCTTTTATTATCTAACTGTAGTACTATTCCTTTAAAATGTTTGGCACATCCTCTGTAAAGCCTTCTCTCTGTTTGCCCCTACTCCTACATGTCGGCATAAAGTGTGTGTATATTCCTTGCCAAAATGAATCTGAATTCCACAAGGACTTTGGGGACACTGTTTATCTCTGCCTCTTTATATTATCTTAGTGTGATACAAACAAAGTGGCTCCTCTATATATTAGACAGTCGAATGAGTGAAATGAGGAAACTTTCCAGGAGAAAAAAGAACAAGAGAACTTTACTTCAGTGAATTGAACTGTCAAAATATCTGAGAGGCAGATATTATTATCCCCATTTTACAGCTGAAGAAAACAAGACAGATACTGTAAGACTTTGGATCAGAACACAGATCTGTCTGATTCTCAAAAGTGGGGAGAGAGATGGAAAAAGAGAGAGAGATAGAAAGAGAGAGAGAGAGAGATAAGCAAGAATCAACATAGTGCCCAACAAGAAAGTGCAAAGGAAGGGAAGGATATGATGGTGACATGTACACAGGTTAGAATGGTGATAGAATTGAGCTTTGGATATTTAGAAGATTTCCTTGGAACTGTTTTGGGAGCCAATATAGACTGTAGGGAAGAAACAGAAGAGTGAAGCAGGCAAAGATGAAGAATGACTTAGAGTCAGATGCCACAGTTTAGGAAGGGAGTGGATTGACCTTGCTGCTTCAGGGAGGAAGTGTATTTGAATTCTAGCAGCCTAGCCTCTGAGTGTATTTTCTATAGCTGTTTGCAGTGGCATATGGAGGAGGGGTGATAGCAGTCCCAAAATGATATAAGGGACAAACATGGATGGCATTTTAAGAAAGAAAGCAGAGGAAAGAGGAATCAGAGGTCTTTGGTCTCTCTGGTTCTTTTTTCCTCCACCAGTCTCTGATTTTGAAATTAATGCAAAGTTTACTCTGAGCTGATGAGAATTCACAGATGGTGAGAGGCACAGGGGTCAAATGATGGTTCCATAGCTAGCAGTGTAGGAGCCTGTGAGATATCACGTTAAATGCCAAGTGTGTGAAATAAGAAGGATAATTGCAATAAGTGCTTGGATTTCGGAAAATATTTTTCCGAAAATTTCGGAAAAATTGTATTTTTCTCAATACGATTTTCTTAATATTATTCAAAATGGCCAAGTATACAAATTGCTAAAGTATAGGAGAATCTTGTAAAAATGACATATAAAATTAACTCAAAAGTGTTTCACATACACAGGAAAGATGGAAGCGATTCTCAGGATAATACAATGGGCAAGGGGTTTTCAACCCAGTCTGATAATAACTCCTTATATTTAGATAGCATTCCCCTAATTTATCTTGAATTCCCTGTCCAATTTAATTCTCAAAGCTGACAGCGAAATGGCTGTTAGACATTCCCATCTGACAGACAAAGACATGGAGACCATGCGACAATGGGACCCATGGACTTGACTTTGTTAAATGCCTGTCAGTGATGGCACCAGCCATACAATCACTTTAACTACTGTTTCCATAGTTTTTCACATGCTGCTCAAGTAAGTTGAAGTTGAATCTTTTCCAGAAATTAGAGAAAGTGGGAAAATTATTAATACATGTAAGCCAATATTTGATTAATGAGTCTCCTATTTGTGCATAGTATCATGAGGTTTAAAATGCTATGAACACATATTAAGGATGCCAGACATCTGCATGATGGAGTTACTCCTCTAACCATAGAAGAGAATTGATAGAAAGGACATTTACTCCAATCCTGGCACTTTATACAAATGAAATAGTCCTGGAGAAGTGAACATCGAGAATGTCAGAGAGGTGACCCAACATTCATTGGCTATTTGACTCATTGCATTCCAGTTGATAATTCTTATGGCACCTTCAAACTTTTTCCACATCTGCATCTCTTATATAATTCATTTTGTTCTCTGTTTTCTTTTTCCCTTCATAGGCTTTTATTGTAAATGTAAATACATTTTAAAATAGGTACTTGATTCCTATCGATAAAAACTTAACAAATAGAACTAACCATGAAAATAAAAACATTAAAGGTAATACACTCAACTGTCAACTACACAAAGTCATCGCATTTACCAACACAGCACAGCCCAGGAAACAGTGATCTTACTTCAGTATCACATTTTGTAGATGAGATACTTGATTCCAGGAAGGATGCCCTATGGCAGACCTGTACCTTGAACCCCACAACTTCACCTCTGCTTACTTCCTTGATCTCAGCAATTAATATTCATATGATTGCTGGGATGTGCCCTGCACTTAACAGTATTGGTCTCTCAAGTCTGGATCAGAAACAGCCAATGCAGCTGAAGACCGATGTGAAGAAAAGACTCAGCAGGATTAAACAGGAACTGAACATAACACTAGCAGAGACTCATCCCTGCCATTAATTTCAAAATATTCTTTGCGAGTAGGAAGTTTCTACAGCAGGTATTTCCTACTGGGGAACAATAGACTCTGCTACAAGACTCAGGGTTACAAACTTAAAGTCCAAAACTACTGAATTTTAACCATCAGTGCTCACTGCCACATTTTTCTGCCAACGGTAATGTAAAAGGGATTCCTGGGAAGACTGACAATTATCTAGCAAGTCTGCACAGGATAGCATGAGTTTTCCAGAGAATGGCACTTTTTTTTGAATCCTCATAATCAATGACAAGCAGAATACTCAGTTTGCAAATGGAAGCTAATTTAAACTTTGATTTATTTTGGATTGAAAAGCAAGAAAAATAAAATTGGCAACAGATGCTTCAGAGAGTACAGGGCAAATAGTGATATTTTTCTGGTATAAGTTTATGGTAGATCTCAGCTACTCAGGGGATTGAAGAAGAAAAATTGACAACATACAAGGTAGAAACTAGAAGAGACAAGTAATTATCAGATTATAACATCTAAGTGGATACAAGAAGCCAAGTCCAAACAAAAGGACTCATCCCAATGAGTCTGGAATGTTAGGATAGAGAAGAATCAACCGTTCAGTGTAAAGAAAGGGAAATTATTTGCTCAGAAAGATACTTTTCTTTAACAAGAATGATCATATATTCCATCATGTTGACCTTGCTTTGGTTGTCATGAATCTTAATAATAAATCTCAAGAACAAAAACCAGTAACCATGGAGGATTTTGCTTCATTTTTGACTAAAATAGTCATTCCCATATCTGTCTGTACATAAAAATTACTTGGAAAACAATTTAAAATATACAATCCTTAAGCAAAAACACTGATTTTGCATCAAAATTTCTAGCAAGAAACATCACAAAGATAGCTAGATAGAGACAGACAGACAAACATATGATAGAATCAAAATCATCAAGTGATTTTTAAGCCCAGCCTTTTTTGAAAGTCAGCATTTGGGGCCTGGTAAACTTTATCATCTTGAAATATTTCTATTTTTAATAGTTCTATTGAAAGGATCTCAGTTGTAAGCTGCCTGAAGTTGGTGGTAAAAACAGAATACAAGTAAAGGGTGGGAGAAAAAAAAGGACAGATAAGACAGAGTAAGAAACACAATAAAACAACTTAAACTAAGTAGCTTAATCTAACTTCAAGATGTTAGAACAGAACAGTCTTGCCTAATATTTGAAGAGAGATGTTTGTTACCCTTCTAAGAAATGAAATCAAGGCAGCTTCTTACAATTCATTAAACTTATTTCATATAGTGCTTTCCCCTGCTTTTCAGTTTAGGAAATCCCCTAAGCAGAAAAAGTTCATTCTTTTCTATGGAAAGAGAATATCCAGACAAGGTTGAGTTTCAGGAAGAAGACAGGTCACACAACATCTCATCCCAGGGTCCTGGGAAGATAGGGGAAGGTTTTGGGGAGCCTGTAAGTAAGAGTCAGGATGGGTTATTTCAGGTCAGTCTTGTCTTTCTTACCACATGGGAGATAGGGTGTTGTTAGTGTGAGACAAGAGCTCAAATTGGCAACTGGCTGGCTATGATTTAATTACATGATGAGATAGTTTCTTAGGTGCACACAACACGATCCTTTCTACTAAACACGGGTTTAATTTTCAACAAAACACTTCTCACATAAACACCATGTTGTTTCTAAACCTTTATTGTCATTCCTAGAACTGCTTGCAGCCTTTCAGAAACCCATTATTTTATAATTATAATCAAGACTATTAGGACAGGACAGTTTGTGCCAAAAAGCACATTTATACTCAGAATCATCACTTAGCATTGTCACAGGAGGGATCATCTCTATTTCTGTAGAAATCAAGGAAAGTTGAACACTCTGCCTTTTAAACTTTCAATTTCTAGATGGTATGGGAGTTATTGACCTTATACAAATTATTCTTCAAACACTCCTTTGACTATCCCTTGCTGAACAGCCCAGAACACCACAGCGGGTTGTTTTGTGGTACAAAATATGCCATCTTGGGAATCAGGCCAACTTGGATTCTGCTCCTTCCAATTAGACAATCCACCCTTTTGCCCTCAGTTTTCTTACCTACAGAATGGCAAAGCTACCAATACTTGCATCAGGTCATTTAAACAATTAAGTGAATCAGTACACAAGTTCCCAGGCATGTGCCAAAAGCTTACAAAATATTAGCTGTTATTGTGATTAGCACATTGTAAGCTGTGTGACCTAAGACAAGTTACCCATCCTCTCTGAGCATTCATTTCCTCATTGCTAAAACGAAGAGAGTGTTCCGAACTCACATAAGAGCAGCAGCCGGTGCTCAATGTATTTAATTCCATTTGGTCAACCACTTCACAAATTTCACTTTAAGCTGAAAAGTTCAATGATTACCATAATGGCATCCTAGGATGTGTAATCCTATTCTCACCATCTAGAAAGTCCTCAGCTTTTGGAACTTCCCCCATAACCTCTTATTTAATCACAAGTCTGTGATCCCCATCAGGAAGTCAGACCAGCTAGCGACATGATAGAGCAGTGTATGTTGTTTAAAGAAAGATCATCATGTCCATGTACTGGGCCTGATGTGCCATTGTTAAAGATCTTTGGTAATGTGCATTTTCACTGCATATTTCTGGGGCTTTTATTTCTGTAACACTAATAAAGTAGATAACAGTACTAATAATTTTGTTTGGTTAATATCAGCCAAAATTATAATGGTGAGATAGGAGGTGTGGAGCAGACCTCCTGGTGTTATGCAATGTTTTGAATTCCTGGTGCTAAGTAGAGTGCACTGATAACCTAGCCTCAGTACTACTGTTTATTAGCAGGTAATGTTGGACATAACACAGAGTGTTGGAGAGGGGTCTCCAAGCTTCCAACTCCTCATCTGTAAACTGGAAATATTTTAGTATCCTCCTAATTCATTGATGAGGCAAAAATAAATGAATATGATTCCCCAAAAATCCTTTTCGCAAATTGATTGATAAATTAACTGTAAGTACTGATACTATTAGAATTATAACTAAGTAAAGTCTGCCAAGAAGGTATTATTACCCATTTTATGTATTAAAACCTGAGCCTCAAAGCACTTGAATGACTTGCTTGTGATGAAACAGGTTAAGTGCAGAACCTAGACCAGGTCTCAGTTTCCACCCTCTGGGATGTTTGCACTGCACCAGAATTCTACTTCATTATAAATTAACAGGGTGCTAGGTGTGGTAGGGAGGTACTAGGGAGTACTAGGTAGGCTGAGGGATGGTTATTTTTCCTATTCTCATAACACCCCCTTTAAGAAGGTAAATTCAGAGCAGTGCTGTGTCTCCTCACCACTCTGTTTTATCTTTATAACACTCTTAACATACTGGAAATGCTTAGGACTTTCAGTATTCAGATAAACAAACTAAAAGTAAACAGATTAAGAAACTTTTCCAAAGTTGTATTTGTGAAGATGTGGCAGAACAGAACTCAAATCCAAATCTACTCTGCATTTGCTGGAGTGGAGCTATATAATGGAAGCCTCTGTATCATTAAAAAAATATTTTACTGCCTATATTTAGTAACGACAATTAGAATAGCTCATGTTGGGAATTTAGAGTCAAGATTTACAGCCACTCCTGATTTTCAAAGCATCTGTGTTCTTCTTCAATTAGCAAAATAGATAATTAGCATTGTACGTACTAAGCTGAATTTCTAAGTCTCAGACTTACAATTATTTGGATACTCTAATTTAGTCAAATTTAGACAGCAGGGAACTCAGCCCACAAGACCATCCTGCTCCTACTTCAGTCTGTCCAATTTTTAAACCTTGTATTAATGTGAATTGTTAGTCGATATTCTCAGACTGTACCACATTTATCTCCTCATTGAATTGATTTCCAAAGACACATTTCTGTCATGTAATGAAGGCAATGAAAAAGGCATTCTTATTTAAAACCATGTGGCAGAAGAAATCCCCAAGTGAAAATGTTGGGAAATTACTATAAATACAGAAGAGCTGGACCTATCAGAAAATCCATTTGGATGGACAAATATGGTCCATTTTGTGTAAGTGGGAGCCTCGTGAAAAAGAATTTATTACATTGGAAAAGAAAGCTGAAGTGTCGAGGTTAAGTCCATATTAACAGAGGAAATGGCTGATTTCAAGTACTGTATATTCTGTTACTCAACTCCTACTTCAGTCTAACACCCATCTTCTGGTTCAAACTTAACATCTGGGTTCTAGTTTTGGGTCCTGGTCTTAGCAAAGAGGAAATAAATATAAAGAGTGGTAGCTTTCAAGTCTCTACAAAACAGAAAGAAGGCATTACAGAAACAATGTGGTGTAGCTAACTGGCTTTTAATGTCTGAGACTAGACTTAATTCCAAACTCCATCATTTAGTACCAGTGTGACTTTGGCTATGTTACTGAAAATATTGGAACCTTACTTTCCAAATGTGATATTATTAGTGTCATCAAGTTGGCATGGCATGAGACTATAAATCAGATATCATACATAAAACAGTAGAGTGTTCTTACCATAGCCATTAAGGATAACTCTTGCAAGAGAAGTCCTCTCCCCACTTCTGCAAAGTGTTGGAATACTTGGGAGTCAAGGAAAAAGTGGAGGAAGTTGTTGAGAACATAGTACACATTATGAACAGGGGAAAGTCACCCACCTTCAGAGTCCTGGAAACTGAATGTGAAGTTGAGAACAATGATCTGGGACTTGGAACATTAGCTGGGAGGCACAGAGGACAACATTACCTGCAGAGATGGTGCTGCTCTTGCTAATCTATTACTCAAACAAACAAGTGTTGCCTGTGTGTCAGGCACGGTGCTCAGCACTGGGAAAGCAGAAACTAAACAGATATGACTGTCAGCTCCACAGAACACCCAGGGAGTTTATGAGGTTTTTTTTGGGGGGCAGGGCTCATAACCTGCAGTGATTTCTAGAAATGCTAGAAGAAAGTTTGTATTTGACAACCTGTAAATGGAAGCCAAATCAAAAAGCAACTGCCTAGTTATAGTCATAGTAACTCCTGCGGGCAGGTAGGCTGGCAAAAGAGCAATTACAAAAATGATGTCATTGAGAAACCTGAACATTCAATGCTTCTCTTCTTTTATCAAGAGGAATACATATCACTAAGAATAGTGCCTTTTGTGTTAAAAATAATACTACCTTTGATTTTTGTAATAACCTTATACACCAATAATCCTACTCTCATTTTATATTTAGTGCAACGAGTCCCTCAGAGAAGTGAAGACCAGTACACAGGGCTGGTAAGCTGTGAATCTGAGTTATGGAATTCAACAGCCACACCATCCAAAATACCAGAGTCTCTCTGGAGTTAAAACTGGCAAACACTCCGCTAAAACTTATTTCCTCATTCTCTTCTTTGTCCAGATTTTCCACTTCTAATTGGTTAACCTTATTGCTCATATTTACCTCATTTGAAGCTTCCTTGAATCCTTTATGGAAAGAGATATGTTATAAATAAATCATTCAGTGTATAATATGTACATGCATATGTATTTGTTTAATGATTCATGGTTTAAGTTGAAAAACCCTAACTAGTGTCAACCACACAGAGAACTGCAAGAGTTTCACTTCTTGTTTTGCCAACTTGAAGCATGAAGCAATGGGGTGGAATGGAAAAGTATTTTCCTTAGTGTGCAAGAGGCCCAACTTCAAGCCTTGCCACTTGCTTAGTCTGTGAACAATTGAAAGTAACTTTACTTCATTGAACTTGAGGTTTCACACAGTAAAATGGAGAAATTAACAGTTGATCTGCTGCTTCTGGCTAACATGATATTATAATTGTGTGAATATGTTCCAAGTTGTAGGGTATTACACAAATTTAAGGCTTTCTATTGTTTGTTTGTTTTGCCCTACATTTCACTTATATCCAGAGCATTTAAATGATGGCAAAGAGGCCATCCTAGGCCTAATGACTATGTTTTCTTCCTCTTCTGTTTCTCCACATGTCACTTCTTCCCCTCCTTGATCACCTCATCTGCAATTTCCAAATTTTCTATTCCTCCTGTGACTGGCTCATTTCATGAAGCATAAGAGTGTTGAAGTTTATCCATGTTGTCACAAATGGCAGGATTTCCTTCTTTTTAAAAACTGAGTAATATTCAAAATGTATATAAATGTCACATCATCTTTGTCCATTTATCTGTCAATGGGCATTTAAGTTGTTTCCCTAACTTGGGTATTATACATATTGCTGCAATGAACATAGAAATACAGACATCTTTTTGCAATTCTAAAGTTTTTGGGTACAAACTCAGAGTGGGATTGCTAGATCATATAGTAGTTCTATTCTGGAAAACTGTTTTTGAGACTGGGTCTTACTATGCAGCCTAGACTGATCTCAAACTCACAATCATCCTACCTCAGCCTTCTGAATCCTAGGGTTACAGGGATATCCCACCATGCCTGGACTATTTTTTATTTTCTTTAAGGAATTTCCATATTTTCTATTTTAAATTCCCCCTCCTTTTATTCATTTTGGGGGTTTCATTGATATGAATATATATATATATATATATATAATATATATGTCATATATATTATATATATATAATTTCTATAAGATTCATCCCTGTTACCATTTCTAGGGAAACAGAGTTTGTATGCTTTTTTGGAAACTCCCCTTACCATGAACCACATTACATGTTGTTTTCTCAATGATAAGATCTACTCTTTCCTAAATGTGGTCAGGAAGTGATACCCAACAGGAAGCAGCAAGGTCTACTCCGTCACCTTCAATCATTTCACAAGCAGATTGACAATGGGTCAGGGAAGGGGGTAGGGCCAGGGAAAGAATCCCAGCACTCTGTCTCTCTGCAGGGATCTAACATTCCATTAAACAACAATCATCTTGAGAAGTAGCATCTTCTGCAAATGCATGTTTAAGAAGACAACCTACTGAAGTTATCCCACTTCTCTTTCTGCCTCTACTGCAAATTGCTCCTTGTAAAACCAGGAAGTTGAACTCTTCTCCCCCTGATTAAAAAACATGCCCCTCTCAACCAGATTATTTTAATACTGCCTCCATGACAGTCATAACTTAGTAGGTAATAATTTAAGAATGTCATCAAGTGACAAAGTGACAGAGTATATTTTCCATACTTGTCTGAACAATACCATTTAAATATGAATATTTCCAGCATGTCTCAGGTTTATTTATGATGTGAATTCATAGACAAGACATTAAAAATGAGAACTGAATTTATAAAAATAAAATATATATTAAGAATTCTTTTTTAATAAATAGAACATAGTAAGGAACAACCAGGATGTTAGTGAGCATGTTCTAATCAGGTTTTCTTATAAATTAGTTATAAGACTAAGGAAATTATAAGACTAATGAAAGGGGGATCCTGAATCAGAAGCCATCTGAGTCATCAACTAGAACTTAAATTGTATTCAATAGAAAAGGGAAAAGTGAGCAAGCATCCATTTTGGTGAAATTACCAAAACTCTTCTAAGCTGATTAAAATGTAATACACAGTGCTGCTTCCATTAAAAAGACTTAGGGAAGTCTTTTGAAGAGCAATGTCCCTTTCTGCTTTCACTGAGACTCAGTCTCTTAGTTCTCATTCAATTGATTTTCTCAGTTTTGACTGGGTTGGTTAAAACAAATACCTGAAAGTTCTGAACTTTTGCACAATATTTATCCCCTCGGCACTGTAAGCACCATGAGATTCCCAGTCCTGTACATCTTGTGCACTGCTGAATCACTTGTCTGGCATCCTGCAGCATGTAACACTTGTTGACAGAATGAATGTTGGATTTGGGTGGGCATGACTCAAGATATTTTTCCAACTCAGGTAGAAGTTGTTGCTTCTTGCTGGTTGTTTTCTGCATCCACTGTTTCTTCTGGATTCCATGGTTTTCCATCCAGCAGAGCTTTTCTGAGTCTTCTCCAAAAGATGTGTCGCCCCAGGACACTGTCCTCCCACTCCAGGTAAGTGTTCCTGCTGAGAAGACGATACAGCTCTACCTGCTGTCGCAGCAGGGACTTCTCCAGCTTCTGCAGCACAATGAAGATGATGCCAGCCCTGCTGCTTAGAAACTGCCAGGTCTGAGCAATCTCATATTCAAAGATACACCAGCGACTCTGGATAAAGTGCTGAGACACCACAACAATAACCTTCCGGCTTTTGTGGAAGCCTTCCTGGATGATGTTGGCAGCAATGGCCACACCAGGAATAAAGTCTCTGTAGTGAAGGCAGAGCTTAAAGGGGGGCACCCCTTCTTCTAAATTCTTCACCAACTCATTTCTGACCCAGTCCTCGTCATGGCTCGAGTAGATAACAAAGGCATCATAGGTACTTTCACCTCTGCCATATGTTTTACAGCCAGCCAGAAGCATCAGGTGAAAATAGAACTTATAGACTAGAACTACTATAATGGACACCACAAGCACACTGAGCACGGACACACTAATGATGGTCTTGCTCAATTGACAGGTGGAATTTCTAAATGTCAGCACTGGCATGCCCTGCATAACTGAAGGTGCTACACATACCATTTGCTCAACTTCCACCAACAGCTGCCTCTGGTCCTTGACCCACTGCAGGAAATTCTGGTACTTACAAATACAAGCAAAGTCATTCTTAGTAAGATTTAAGGCAGATAGATTACTTGGAACATGTAGTTCTTGCCCTATGGAACCTTCTATACGATTGAAACTACAATCTAGAACTTGGAGGGCGTGGAGAGGTTCATAAGGAAGTGTATCTAATAATACAATTTGGTTGTGACTCATATTTAGGATCTGAAGTCTAGGAAGTTGATCAAATGCTCCCTGGGATACATATTCCAGCTGACAGTCAGAAAGGTCCAGGAAAGTCAAGTTAGTCATGTTTTTGAAGATATTTGAAAGCATGTTGCCCTTGAAAGAATTGCCAGCCATTTTTAATGTTTTGAGACTGATCAAGCCATCAAAGATGCCATCAAAGGCAATTCGGATTTGAGTATAAGAAATGTCAAGGTAAACCAGTTTGTTAAGAGATAAAAATACTGAAAATTCACTGGTCTGTTTCAAATTGCAATGCTGAAAATCCAGATATAGCAGCTCTTCTAAACCCAGGAAGTTTGAATTCATGGTAATAACACCATTGAAGCTCAGATCTAAATGCTTCAGTCTGGTTGTCCCCAAATCAGTATGAGAACAGCAATGCTTGAAACTCAAGCCATTTCCACTGAGATCAAGAAACTCAAGGCTTGGTACTCGAAATTTTGGCATGTTGTTTACATCTCTGTTGTCAGTAAAAATCATCTTTTTGAGAAAGGGGAGAGCCAAATGGAAAAAATGTTGACATTTACACCTAACTAGCTCTAAGGTTTGCCATTTGAAATCTTTAGAAAGTCCTTCAAGGTTTTCAATATATAAACTCACCAGAGACATTGCAGAAACATTTTCTAAACAATGAAATAAGTTATCAATATCACCTGAAAAGTTATCTAAATATGCTAACCGGAATTCTTCAATGGTCACACTGCACAATCCCTCCAAGGCAGAATTGTCAAAACTTGCCAGGTTCCTTTCATTTTTAAATTCTCCCAAAACTAACTGATGGACTTCTAAACCAGCCAAACCTTGAATACAAGTTTTCATTACATTCGTGCTATTAAAATTACTTCTCAAAGTCAGTTTATGGAGCCTTATTTCTTTAAAGGAACCAGGTTGAATAAAATCTATTGGGTTAAGGGACAGATCTAAAGAGAGGTTGTGTAGGGGCTTTCCACGTAGAACGTGCAAGTCTTTATGATGAATAACTTGAATCTTGTTATTGGAAAGGTCTAAGTGTTCCAGTTTGGTCAGATTAGAAAAATATTCAGGTAACTTGAAGGAATGGATAAGATTGTGAGCTACACTGAGTTCCTTCAAGGTTATGAGATGCCCAATAGGGAGGTTCTCTAGAGAGAGCAGGTTTGTCTCTACAGCCACAAGCTTCTTTAAACTTGATAACCCAGAAAAGGCTCCCAAGGCTAAACTCCGGATAGGGTTTCCTGTCAATATCAAGGTAGAGAGTTGACTTAAGCCCTGATATGCACCATCTTCAATCATCTGAATTTCACACCTACAGGGAAAAAAGATATGAATTATTCAATATTTTTGCCAAATAAAAATTCACAATAGAATCACAATCTTAGCCATCCACTTTTTCATACAGATGTAAGGTGCCATGTTATTTTATGTAGGCAAAAACATGAAATAGTGTATGTGATGATGGCATGAGCAATTAAAAAACTCCACAGATTCAGTACTATCATACTAGCTACAATGATAGATTCTTTGTACCACACTAGGCACACATGCTAAGCAGAGGGAGCAAATTAATCATAAAGAGATCAGTTGAAGATCAATCATTGAGGCATATGAAGATTACATGGTTAATAGTGTATGTAATAGCCTCAGATCCAGTTTAGCCATTTCTTTCCACATATAATTGTGATTATGCATCTGATTGGTACATACAATATAGGCAGTTGTTATTTGTTGGCAATTTCAAAGATATAAATAATTACACATAAGTGTCATGGACACTTTTAATGCTTATGAATAGCTCTGAATATATGACAGCTAGATATTTGAAAGTTGTCATTACTACAGATAAACGTTAATAACAGGTGACAGGAGTTAGGTCTTTTGGAAGAAAAGGAAACTATGCTACAAAAATTTTCATCAAGGGAACTCTCCTAGACTAGGGTGATCAAAGCAGGCTTCTCTGAGAATATTTAAGTTGAAATTTGAATGATGAGTAGGAGTTAATGAGAAAAAAAGTGAAGTGAACAGCAGATCTAATAACCCCCAGAAAGGCAACAGTCATGATTTGTGGAGGAACCATGATAGTGTCTGTCTGGGGTCCAGAGAGGGAACTGACAGGAGAGGGGTAATGTCAGATTGTGGAGAAAGGAGACTCCAGATAAGGCAAAGTCTTTCAAGCCAGATAAAGGGTTTCAAATTTTATCCCAAGAGAAAGAAGCTATGCTACATACAGTGTTATAGAAATGTCCTATATACAGGGATTTTATGCAACCAACAGTAAGATCATGACAAACAGCTTTCAGTATTGCAGGTATGTGCCACTTATAGTTGGTAGATAAATACTTTCCTAATCTGACCTGAGGTACTTTTACAGTGTTTGAAAGTGTCCCCAACCTGACCTGTGCCCTTCAGGTGATTCAGGAGTAATAAAAACATTTTGGCACAAGTTTTTTTTTTTATTTAATAATAACTGAATAGAAGGTGGTGGGTGTAGTAGAAAAAACCCTGGAATTCAGGCATGGTAAGTCATGAGGCAGAGGCAGGAATAACACCAGTTTGAGGCCAGCCTGGTCTACAAGTAAGACCCTGTCTCAAAACAAAAACAAACAAACAAATAAAAAAATTGAGACACAGAAAGAATGACAAGATTGCCGGGTTTTGGTGTCTCTGCTCTCTTCTCTTATGGCATTATCTTTGGAACCCATCTTCTCTGGGTTTCAGTTGTCAAATTTTTTAATGTGGCAGCTAAACTTGATTATTTCTCAAATTCCTTTTTTCCATAATATGACTTGAAATTATGCATATATTGCCATATACATCAGGCAAGAATGGGAGATCTTCCTGTGTCACTATCTCATTATGTACGGCTGGCACATCACTATATAGGAGTAGTGTTAAGATGAAAAAAACATTTAACTTGGAAGAAAGAGATGTGAACTTGAATCTCTGGTCTGCTGAAACAAGAAATATGAATATAGATAAGTCACTTAAGTTCTTTAAACCTCAGTTTCCTCATTTATAAAAAGAATATTATATGTGCTTATTTTTATAAGGAAATAAAGATTGTCTATTCTATCCCAAAGCATTTTCAAAAGACTAGTTGAGTTACTATGTGTAAACACTACGTGAAAGGGCAAAGGATATCTGTTGTGTTGTGTGTATTTTTCCTAATTCAGAATCTCCTATGAACAAAATCAGAGAGTAAGCTGACATCTTCTAAGCACACATTTAAGACCGCTAGGAAAAGTTTCTCAGGAATATGGTGAATCAAAGATGAATTATATGGGACACTGTTTGATAGAAACTACACCTTCTTTTTTATAAAAGTGGGGAGTTGGTCTGTTTGCCTTAATATAATACTTGACAAAACTCTCACTAAAATTTAGAATCTGTTGAAATGATAATAGTATTTTATACTTACAAAATATACTTTATCAAGTTAAATATATATATATATATATATATAACATGCCATATATATGTATGCATATGTGGCATGTTAATTGTCATTATCACACTTAACCTAACTGCAGGGTAAGTTTTATCATTTCCATTTATCAGATCTGAAAACTGAGACCAAGGCAGATGAAGTGACACAACTAAGGTCAGATGGTTGTAAATGCTGGAGGTCTTTGGGCTCCCACAGGGCTCTATTCTTTATGCCAGTACATTTAAAATGTTGTACTTCTGCTTTGTTATACTTCAGCAATATCCAAGTTAGAGTATTAAGCACTCATTAGCTGATTATTTTTCTACAGAAATGTCTACTCTAAAGAAAGTTTCCATACTTATTTTACTCCTTATCAAGAATATCTACAATAAAAAGTACATGAAATGTTTCTGTATTTTTCATAAATCATTGTAGAAAATATAGACCATTATCTACTTCAATTTTTTAATGAGGCCCCTGATGGTGAAAAATTCTTATGATTGAGTTTCCACCAAAAATAATGGTAACTTCACCTGCCCCAGCAAATGATACACTTCCCTGATCAGACAAGAAAATTTGCTCCCTGCCTACAGCAGATGTTGTCCTTTGATCTTGACATCTTTCTCCTGATTACTTGTTTCTTCTTAATTTCCTATCCTCTAGTTTACTTTCAATACTTCAGATCTTACCTGAATCCTGCTCAGTTCACAAAATCTTTCTTGACCACCCACTTACAGAGAAGGCCCCTTCTCTGAACAGCATAATTTCTTACCTCATTGCACAGTTTATCACCTATTGTCATAAATCTCCAGACTTATCTCAGCTTAAAATCCATAAAGTCAGAATTATATAACATTTGTTGAATGTCTACTGCATGCTCAGCAACATGACTAGGAATTTCACATATTGAGGATATGCCCTAATAATAGAGACTGAATGATATATGCCAATAAACTCATTTTCTAGAAGAATATACAACATATTGCAAATGGTCAATAAGTATCTGCAAATGAAAAAGTTTAAGTTCATTTTCCCTCCTGACTTAAAAGAAAATCCAAAGGTAGAATTGTCCTTAGAAAGTGTCTCATACAACTGACCACTTCACACATGAAGAAACTGAGATTGGGAGAATGGAGGTAGCTTGTTTAAGGTTGTACAGCAAGTAAATCATCTATTGAACGAATAAGTGAATGAAGATGAAACCCTCCCAACCCAGGCTTTCTGTCTCCAAATGAAGTGATAGAACTGTAAACATCTGTCTCACCTTGTGCAGCATGTAAAAGCTCATTCATTACCTGGATAAATCCAGCACCTGCAGATCTGGAAAACTGGAGAAGCTTTGGCTGCCTAAGCCATTCAGGGGGTTAAAGCTGAGGTCCAGGTTCTTGGTTGAGGAAGGAATGTTGTCAGGTATCTTGGAGAGATTCTGCCCCATACACTGGTATGTAATGTTAGGAACCACCTGTAATGATCGCACATTAGACATAGAGTCCTGCCACCTTCACTTGAACTCTTCCATCCTTAATCAGAGATGGGAAGTCTCTGGTGTAAGAACGGGAACCAGCCAACTTTCTTCCAATCATTTACCCATACATCTGTCCATCCACCCATTTATCCACATACTTCATATTTATAAAATGCCTCCCTCTAGATTAGGAAGGAAAGACTGCCTCATATATATTAATGTTCTAATCTCCAGCTATAACAATGGTAACACTGAATGAGAAGCAATGGAGTTAGGTGGGAAGGGCTCTGAAATCAGAAAGCCCTAGGTATCACGCCAGCTCTTCCATGTGGTTTGGGACAGGTCTTTTATTTTTTAACTTCAGTGAGCTTCACATATCATACACAAAGTACAGGGAGAAAATATTTGGTATCATTCTTATTACCTACTCTTCTATACAGCTATGAGGAGATTGACAATCAACATGTCCAGACCTTCCCTAACCACAGTCAGATTTCAAACAACTACATTTCTTACTTGTCTAGTTGACTTTTACCAGAGTGATGCAGAAATGGTGAGTAATTGTTGACAGCATAGATTCCATTAGTACTGTCTTGGTTTCTGTGCTCATTTCAGTCCTCTTTCCCACATTCTTTGTAAGCCTTATTCTCTACCCCTCATCTAGTTTCAGAATTCTGTGATGTCCACTAACAAAATGTATTGAATAAGCCATCTAGTTTTGTTTTTCTATTGCTCTTTGCAACTGAGGTCAATAGGAAAAGGGGATCAGGAACTAGAGAAAAGGTTAGATCAAAAAGAATTAACCTAAAAGCAACACACACGTACAGGAAATTAATGTGAGTCAACTCCCTGTATAGCTATCCTTATCTCAGCCAGGAACACTTGTTCCTTCCTATTATTGCCTATACTCTCTCTTCAACAAAATTAGAGATAAGGGCAAAATAGTTTCTGCTGGGTATTGAGGGGGTAGGGGGGAGAGGGAGGGGGCGGAGTGGGTGCTAAGGGAGGGTGTGGGGGCAGGGGGGAGAAATGACCCAAGCCTTGTATGCATATATGAATAATAAAACAATAAAAATAAATAAATAAATATAAATAAAAAATTAAAAATTAAAAGCAATAGAATCTGTTTAACAGATTAAATGAGATAAGGCATTTAAAAAACTTATCTCAACATCTACTAAAATGAGATTATCAATAAATTTTAACAGTTATCATTAGCTACTATTAATCCTTTACTACATGTTATAATATTTCTTATATGCTATATAACTTAACAAAAAATCCTTTTAAAAAGGAAGAAAATGGAAAATCAGAGAGATGAAGTAATATGTGTAAAGTCACAGAGTTCATTACTTGCAGGTCCTCACTTTATTTGATGTCTTCTTAAATGTTATCCATCATAGGAGCCTTAGAACTAATACATCGAATACAGCCTGGTGCCAGGAACTCCTGTCTCACCCTCTTTTATCTTCTGTATGAGCTTATGTCTTCAGTCAACATTATTTTACCTATATGATGTTTCCTAAACACTGTTCATTTTTTATGCCCAACTATAAACTGATGGTTTGGCTTGGTGTTTCTCAATAAGCATTTATTGAGTAAATAAATGAAAAACGTTAGATAACTGATGGAATGATAGCTTGCTTACATCCAAATGGTAGGCATTTTTTGCTAAGTGCTGTGGGGAATACAAAGACAAAATTGACACGGTTCCTGATTTCACTGAACTGACAGTCTAGAGCACAGCTGAGATAGAAGGAAAACACTGTCTACAAGAGCCATAAAACAGGCTTAGAAAACATGTCCTCCAATTCAGAGAAAGTAGAGCTCAATTATGGATTCAGAGAAGATGTTCAGGAATGACTCTTGAAAACTGAGTAAGACTTTGATATATGAAAAAGGGAAGAAAGGGCATTTCATAAAGGAGAGAGCATTGTGAGTAAGGAAGGGGTGGAAAACAAATTGAGATTAGCTTGTCAGTGGCAAGAATGATGAAAGTAAAGCCATAGGAAAAGCAGTGCCAGGCCAGGAGGGCCTCAGAATCTATCCTGTAACAATTCTTTCAGTCATTTATTACAAATAAATTGGGGAACTATTATGTGCTTGGCACTAGTAATATAGTGATCAAAAAAACAGCAGTAATGCTACCTTTTTACAGCTTATACTCCAAAGGGAAAGACAATGAACAAATAAACAAAACTATATAATGATGTGCTCTAGGAAAAAAATAAATCAGTATAAAGGGGATTAGAGTCGAAGAGGAGCTGTAAAGATCTTCATGAAGAAATCAGGAAAAACTACCCTGAGGTGAAGATATTTGAATGAAGTAAGTGACTGAGTCATGAAAATAATAGAGGTGCAGTTTTCAATATGGAAGCTGCAATCTATACACAGCTCTTTTTTGGGAGCTTTTTCCTTAAAGCAGAGTTTTTGTATTTGGCTGGCCTCAGACTTAGAATCCTCCTGCCTTAGACTCCCCAGTGCGGGGATTATAGACATCTGCCATTACACCAAGCTCATAATAGCTATTGAGCATAAGAAATGTGAATTGTATAAATTGAGGTATAAGATAAATATAGAATAGACAATAAATTTCAAATACAGTAACCAAAAAAGGAATGTAAAATAAGTTTTAATGCATACTGAAACATTTTGAATATATTCCATTAAATAAAGATATCATTAAAACTAAATTTACCTGTTTTAACTATTAACATGGTTACTGGAAAATTTAAAGCTACATATATGACTCACATAATATTGACATAATATTGACCTGATCTAGGGGGAAAGCATTCTGGGTAGGAGAAATAGTGCAAAGGCCCTGTGGTAGGAAACTGCCCTAAAAGCAATGGCCATTGTTGAAAGTTTTTAAGAAGAGTAATTTTCCAGATTCAATTCACTGGAACAATAACAATAACAAATAAACAGCAAACAAGTGTTCAGAATAGGTTAAAGGAAGGGCTGTGTTAAATCAGGAGAATAGTGACTACCCTGGAGTCAGGGCCAAGGGAACTGAGGCATGGTCCTAGGGAAGGGGCAGACAGGATTTGGTGACTGCCAGAATACAGTACACAGGAAAAGGGAACAGTCAAGGGTGGCTGGAGCTTTATTCCAGGGTGAACCAGATTGAGACTGGAAGTTCTATTCTTAATAGCAGGGGAGAAGAAAGGAGTGGAACTGTGGCATGGAATTGGAAGAAGCGAGGATTTTGAGACAGTGAAATAGTCCAAGTTAGATATTAAAGTACAATATTTTCTCCAATGTCCTCAAATCTGTGATCCCAGCTGTGCTTCTCTTGAGTCTCTTACCCCACCTCATGCTGAGTCATTTCCTTGCTAGTCAGTTCTATTGTGTGTTTCTAAAACAACTGGGTAATCCACACAGGGGAAAAATGAGAGATTAACCATGAGGAGACTACTCTCCAGCTAGTTGGTATTTCACAAAGAAAGAAGCCACTGCTTTAGCTGACATTTTACATGGTTCTCTCTCTCCTTTTTTCCCCTTCAATCTCTGTTTCTCTTTTCTACTCTTTATATTTTCCATCCTCTAGATTGAACTACATGACTAAATGCAGAAATTGGGAAATCCATTTAGAAAATTCTTTATTGAGAGACAAGAAAAAAAGCCATCTTTCTCCTGAGATAGAAAGGGACAAAGTGATTACCCAAAGCCAAGTGTAAAAACCACCAGCAGAAAGGCATTGGCACTAAAGCACCCTTCTTAAAACCTACTAGTGAAGTATTATTATAATTCTTTTATATAAATGAAAACTAGTCTCAGAGAGATTTGATGTCTTCTTCCTGGTTACATGCCATGAGATCGTACAGCAGTGAATTTAAACCAGTCTGACTAACCTAAAGTCCCTAATGCCACTCTGAAGTCCTAAATGGGACAAAACACCATGGGCTGCCTGTTAGTGCCCTGTTAACAGTGAGTTATTTGGTCCCTGTGGCTTTTCAAGTCTTTAGTTAACTCTTTTTTGCAAAATAAAGTAAGCAGAGCACACAGCAGGAAGTTCTGCGCAGGGAGCAGTTTTGAGAAGTAAGGGAAAGCTCACAAAAGATGAGCAGACTGAACCACATACCTCCATGCACGGCTCCCAGCTTTCTGGTCTGAGACAGGAGAGGAAAGCCATGGCTGGGATCAGAGCCCCAGCCAGGCAAAAGCGAGGCGTCATCCTGGCATTTTCTGTGACTTGGGGCGCCCTTGTAAAAACATATCTCGCTGTCACCACCTGACAGGGCAGAGTGTCTGAGAAGCTGGTATCTTCTCTCTTGACCGGTGCCCCACAGCAATTACTATATTCAATGCAGTCCTAGGTTATGAGGTGAGAGGAAGTGAGAATGGCAACTTTAGCATTCTGGGCTTTCGTTTTTCTAATATTTATCTGCCTGTCACAGGAGAGGAAGTTAGAAGAAAAAGAAGAGGTCTGCAAACCAGTGCTGCATGAACAGCAAGAGGAAGCTGGCTTTTATCCCAGAAAGTCATCTGATCTCTGGACTTGGTGAACTTAGAAAAATAATCAGACATTGTTCAAGTAAGCAGAATAACTGGCTAGGAGTACCATGACTTTCCAAATATGTTTTAGTGATCATACTAGTTTGCTAAGGCCGCCATAGAAAAGTATCACAGACCAGGACATTTGAACTACAGAAATTTATTTTCTTATAATTCTGGAAGCTAAAAGTCCAAGATCAAGATGCCATTATGTGTATCTGTGCCCTGATCTCCACTTCTTAAAAATGAACTGGTCATATTGTATTAAGTAATCCCTGTAAGACCTCATTTACCTTAGTCACCTTTTTAAAGTGCCCTCTCCATATACAGTCACAATCCCAGTACTTGGGGATTAGGACTTTAGCATATAAATTTTGGAGAAGGGTACATAATTCAGTTCATAATATTTCTTCTTGTGAAGAAGCTAACATGTAATAACTTATTGAAAATAAATCTCTAATATAGCAGTTAGAAAAGCATAGGGAAGTTGTGAAAAGTTTGGTACTCAGAATTAAACATGCTCCAGTTCAAATCCATGATGGATTCCTTATGGCCAGGTGGCATTGCTCAAGTCACTTAACGTACTGAACCGTACTTTCTGACCTGTAAATATAAAAATCATTTTTAATCATAAGAGAAACTCATTTAGCAGATTTATAAAAAAATAAAACTATGATGGTAGTCAAATTACACAAGCCCCCAACCTTTTATTTTCTGATCTTTAAAATGAAGACATTTGTTTTGCATGACTCAATTAAATTAACTTACAAAAAATTACTTGGTCTGGTGGAGGGTTTATCATTATATTCCATAAATAATGCTTATTAAAAATGTAAATAAAATGGGATAATAAATATTACTTCAAAGGTTATTGGATTAAGTGAGCTGGCATTTGCCAAGCTTTTAGAGCAGTGTCTGAAAAGAAGTGCAATGTATGTTCTGTCAAATAAGAACAGTTAAAAATGGGGCTATTACTGCTAGATTGTCTTAGAAGTCTCATCAAGATATCCTAAAGGCACCTCAAGTTGGCATGTGTAAAGCCAAGCTGCAAGGTAACATTGTAGAGGACTGAGTACAGATTCTTCTAGACGCCTTCAACTCACCTGTAGAATCAAGACACCTTGTAATGAGGATGAACTGAGACTTCATGTAAAGATCTTAGAGCAGTGCAAGGCACAGAGTAGGAGCTCTAAAGTTTAGTTCTCTGGAAAGTTAATGGAGTTTCACTCCCATAATGGTGTTTCACAGCCATATCCAAGATGGAAATCTATTTGACTTCTCACCTCTTATTTCTCCATTTCTTATGTGAAATGAGCTAATTCTATTTTTATTAATTTCTATATGGGTGTTTCTCCATTTATAATTGGGTTGCATACTTAGAAACCCATCATGAGTTGAAAATATTGTTAAGTCAAACACATATTTAATACACTTAAAGTACCAAACATCATCATTCTATAACACTGTACATTGTTGAGCACCTGTTATTTTCCAATGTGACCACATGGCTGAGTGGGAGCTGCACTTGAATGACACTGCCTAGCATTGCAAAAGACTAGGCAGTAACTAGCCTGTGAGGAGATCAAAATTCAAAACTGAAGTATGGTTTTGATAGGCATTGCCTGGTACCACTACAAGGTCAAAACCATTGTAAGATAAACCATTGTAAGTTGAGGACAGTCTTATTCCTGGTGCTTCAGTATCTGGGTCCTCACTGATTAGGGAGAAATTGCCCCTCCAAGGGCTAGCCAGGTCTTAAAAATAATAAATGACTTGGCTGAAACAAGCTTTCATATGCGAATTTACCAAACCAGATCCCATTCTGAATCACCTTCTCTATTTGGCTCTTACACCCAAGGAGACATCTTCGGCCCTAATCAACACAGGGCCAGGTATCAGACACTCAGCAACATCCCCAGCCTGCTTACTCTAACTTGCCCTGCCTTTCTCCAAGAAATCATAAGAAAGGTTTGTGCTCATGATTTTCCTTTGCTCCTTCCGTCACCTAACTTACCCTTATATGTCCACATGTGGCCCTATATGGTGGCATGCCATTTCCTCTGGAGAACTCTGAGTAAAAGTTTGTTTCTTCAATGGCAATTGTCTCCTGCTCTATTGGCCTCACCACATAGTTTTTAAAAAAATCATGCCAAGTCCTAGAAATTGAAAATATAAAATAATTCTAAAATATCCATCCTCAATTCTATTGAAATCAACATTGAATATGTTCTATTGTCTAGACTAGTGTGAAATACTGTTTCTGAGTCTTTCAAAGTCCAGATTCACATCTTCCAAAGTCTCAACTCTTCCAATCCATCCTTCATCCTACAACTAAAGCCATCTTTCTAAAAGACAAAATGGAATATCCTGTGCTATATGAATAATGTTCGGAGACTGTGTTTTGCCTAGACCTCATGTCTCCTAACCTAGCCTTACCCTCAGAATTCTCTCTCTCTCTCCCACACACATACACACACACACACACACACACACACACACACACACACACACACACATACAGACCCTATTTCAAAAATAACAAAAGTAAAAATGGCCAGCTTGTGGCTCCAGAAGTAGAGTTCCTGCCTAGCAAGACATTGAATTCAAACCCCAGTATTGCCATAAAAAATTTTTTTAAATTATTTTAATTTTTTTGTGGAGTACTGGAATTCCTTTTTATTTATTTATATGTGCATATATTGTTTGGGCCATCTCTCCCCATCCCCCATGATCCCCTCCCTCTCCCTCTCACCCCTCTCGCTTCCAGACATAGCGATAATAAGAAAGACATAGCATTTTTGCTAGTTTGAGATAAAGATAGCTATACAGAGAGATTCCTAGCATTGCTTCCATGCATATGTGTATTACAACTCAAATTGGTTAATCTTTACCAGACTGCTTCACTACTTGCTGGTCACCTTCCCATAGTGGCCGCTGTCAGTTTAAGATTGCTATATTAGCTCCTTTACAGTAGGCACATCAAACACTTTCAAGTTTTGGGTTTCCTACCTTTCCTCCTGTATATGTTCTCCCCTTTGTGTGTGACCCATGTCCAATAATATTGCAGCATTTGTTTTAGGTCTAAAGTCCACATATGAGGGAGAACATACAATTTTTGGCCTTCTGAGCCTGGCTAACTTCCTTTAAGATGATGTTTAAACATTCCAAGTGGCAAAAAAATAGTCTTACAATCAGTGGTATACTATTTTAAATGAAAAATAGTCCCTTTGTCTAACACAGAAAATAGGATTTGTCCTAATAAATAAAATTAATAAATAGTAAAACACAGAAAAAGAAATTTGTTTCCTAAGGACTGTTTGGAATGTTTGCTAGACTAATGTAAATAGAATATAATGGCTGTATGGGGGGATACACTGTGACATTTACAAATGTGCTTGCAATATATTTTAGTTAAGACTCACCCACTCCATCATTCTCCCTCATCCCCCTTCATTCCCTTTGTAGAACAATTTCAACAAGTATCATTGTTCTGTTTCATACACAAATGCAAGATACATCTACCATATTCACCCTCCTTCATCCTCTCCATTCATTCTCCTCTCTTTCATTGGTCCTACCCTGAGATAGGAACTGTTTTACCTTCTTGTCCTTCATTTTGTAAGTGTGCTTATTTACATCTACTTCAATAAATAGAACGCTCAAGTTTCCCAGCTTTTTTGATCCATGTAACTCTCTTTTATCCTCAGATGCACATTTCCACTCTAGTGTGCTGTGATCCAATGCTTCTGTTGTATATAGGACCTTACACTGAGACTACACATCTTACTAACACATGTCCAACCTCCCCAGGTTGGAGAGAGGATCTTAGGACTCACACAACAACCATCTGTCATGCACATGAGGGATGATTATCTTCCTTTCCCACTAGGCTTTCAGCAGTCAAATCTGGTCTACTTCTGCATATTCCATGCCTATTACAGTGTCCAATACCTTGGAGGAATTCAATGCATATCAGGTGCATCCATGATTATGACAATAACCTTGGAAAAATAACAACTGAGTCATTTTATATATAAGCTAATAAGGTACAATAGAGGACAGATTGTATCTGTTACATTCTTACTTCCAACTCTAATCTCTATTTGTTTTATATACACAATAAGTGGTCAATAAACTTTGAGTAAAGGAATGAGTAGATAATATATTATCATCCCTTGCCTTGACTGCTGTCAGTTACTTTTCTCCTGTTTTAAGCAACTTTCTCCAAGAAAGAAGGAGAAATGTTCAAGGACTATTATTCTCTTTTTTCTAGAAGGCAACCAATGGCAAAATGCTTTGAACTGGTATCTGATGCAATCATGACTTGCAAGTCATATTACAATGCATCACTATGGACAGCACATGCTTGCATAACTCAGGGTTCTGTGACATGTATCTTAGGAAAGAAAGTTACATGAGTAAGCTATATTATTCATCAAGTAACTGGTTAATTCCACAAGTGGCTCTCCTTTTCTGCTATTTTTCACACGGGAGGAATCTGGCAGTCTAGGTGCTTGACTGGTAAATGACAGACAAACATGAGAGATAGAGAAATAAATGGAACACAGAAGAGTATTCAGAGATGCTTTCCTTGAGTTTCAAGAAATAGAACTCGATCCATACAGAGTCCAAGGAGAAATAAAGAATTTCCAGCTTTATCCTAGCCATTCTGAGATCTCCGTTTATGAGGTAAGCTTTCTACTACAGAAATTGTTTTACATCTGCATTAATTTATTTTCTGTTACCCATAATGGAATCCCACAGACTAGGTGAGTAACAAAGAAGTTTATTCCAGCTCTCTGTTCTGGAAGTCCAATATCAAGAGCCAATCTGGTGGTGGCAAATTGTTGGCAGAATCCTGAAGTGGACCAGACCATCATGGCAAGACAGGGAGCATGCAGACAAGACTCTTCTAGTCTC